AATACTAAGCAAGCTGATACCACGGTAGTTTTTGCAGTCCTGCTGTGACCCTTTTCCTTTATATATTGGTACTAGTTATAGTACAGCTTTACACCAGTCATCCGGTACCCATTTTAATTCCCAACACAAATTAAACAAGGTGTACAGCAGGCCTGCCACCAGGCCTGCTGAAGGAAAACATCGTGAGGAAACCTGCATGTCTGAGGAATAAGAAAAAAATATTTCAAAGACATGTGAAGTTCGCCAACACGCATCGAGGCTGAGCGGCGGACACTTCCTTGCCCTAAAACCCTCTCAGAAATGAGCGGAGGCCCGTACCCAGCAGTGGGACGTATATAGGCTATAACTTTACTTTTTATTAATCAGGTAACTTACTAAATTTAATATTTATAAAAATGCTATTTGCATCTGAACTAACCGACACGTGCCGACGTAACGTGATTTCTCTGACGTCTCAGTATTTTTAATAGCGCGCACCCCCACAATGGTTTTTGTATGAATAGATAACTATATAAACAAAAACCTTGGAGGAATCTAGACATAAATCTAGATACAGTTATTCTTTAAATTTAAAAATGGTCCCATATAGCAAATACATACCTTGACGCCCGTACAAATGGATTCTGGGATAGCTAATACATCCCATTACCAGTAAAACTACATAGAACTTTTTCATCTCTACTGCTGTTGTATTTGTCATATAATAAATATTGGTACAATTTGCAGCATTTTCAAAAAACCGATCGTCAAAATATAAAGAAAAATACTCCAAAGGTGTAAAAGGAGTAGTTGCTGGGCGAGGCAAATATCCAGAGTGATCTTTATCTTCAAAAGGCCTTTTTCTCCAATTCCTGTGTCGCTGGTTCGTGTGTGTGGTTGGTGTTCTCGTTCTCGAACTAGATGCAGAGGAATGGCTAAGTTGAATTGGTGCTTGACCGCGACTTGTAAATAGTTGCTCGTCGGTTTGTTGACGACGCCGACGGAGCGCAACACGAGGATGACGGCTGTACATCGATTGTGCGACGTTGGCTTGATGAAAGGTTGCGTGCGGTAAAACGTTGACGCTCTGATGGTGGCTCATACTCTGGCATCGAAAACTCTGGATTTTGTACTGGAACATCGGCTTCGGCGTAAGGTCTTACGGTGGACTCAATATCTGCGTCCATTTCATCCTTTGTGCTAGTCTGTTATGCCGCGGCTGCTCTGCTGTGAAGATCTTCACCATCTGAATCTAAGAGCTCCGAGTAACAATCATCCCCGATGAGTTCATGAACCGATTCCGAAGTCCAATGCCCTAAAATAAACAAAAATTTACATTACTTAGAATAATCAAAAAACAAACTTCGTCCTGACACGCACGATCGTGTATTATAACTTCAGGTACTTTCAGAACCCAACTTTGAATGCAAATAAAACATATTTAAATCTATCAATTAAGTTACCTATTTAAATAAATACTTACTTTGCGTGCCTCCCGTCTTTAAGAAAGCGTCCATACATGTCACTTAACACGACACCGACTGAGCGCCAATGAAGGACCTTATTTTTAAAATATCAAATTTAATGAAAAGAACGATCGATCGACAGCGTTTTGGCGCGGCGTAATAGATCTCGAGCCGAGCAAAAAAGCGGCACGGCCGTACCAATGCTTCTCGAAGCAGTTCAGACCATTTTCGACCTTCGTTGTGGATAAAACTAGGAGCCTGACTTTTCTGTAACCAAGCAAGCATTGTATGAACATGGGATTTTTAAATTTTATTCAATTTGAACCAGTAGTATTAGTTTAAGAATTATAACTAGTCAAAGTTTCTTAAATTTGTCACTCACTGACTGACCGATCATCAAAACTCTAAGGCACTTCTAGCAGAGATATAAGCTTCAAGTTTAGAATACAATTAGTGTTTAGTTGACGATGCTCTAGTACAAAATACAAGCTCTAATACAAAATAGCAGCGCCACGGCCATCGACTCACACTACAATAATATCGAAACGAGACGAAGCGCGCGAAATAAATTAACACAGGTCCGGTAATTAATTCAGAATGACCGACGCAGTGAAATATATGATACATTTATTTAATTAATTAATAAATAATAGTAACTATTTAAAAAGTAAAATAATATAGTTTAAACAAATGTTGATGATTATTTTAGTATAAATTTTACATCAGTATGATGTAGAATTTTGGAGATATTGGGGCTTGTATCGAAGCTATTTCGGTTGTTAACTGAATTATGTTGATTTTTTTTTCTTACGTGAAAGGCATATAACGAATATGTATTTTATCATTATTAAAGTATAGAATATTATTTGTGAAATAGATTTTTTTTTGATGGATTCAAAAGAATCTACAAATTGGAGCTCCCAAATTGTCTCTCAGAGTTTTGGCCTAAACATGCATCGGGAGAATGATTATTACTAAATAAATAAATAAGTTATCTAAAATTTGCCTTGAGCTTATTGTGGTAGAGAAAACCAACTATTATTACTTAGTAATTGTTATTTCAAGCAACAAACGGAAAACATATAATGTCAACGAGGAAACTTTGTAATTTCGCGTTTTTTTTGTAATAATTCTCTTAAGCATATTGTGATAAATTTATATGAAAACAAATTAACGCGAAATGATACGACATGAGCATAAGTAATTAATAGTTATATTTTGAGTAACAATTTGTGTTTTTTTAGTGGAACAATACTGGGAAGACAGAGTGTTGGCGTCCGTTCGTGCTCTTGTCCTAAAAGAGATCTATCACGAGACGAGAAAGAAGAGGGCAAAGGGAAGAGAAAAATGAAACAACCGCAATCAGAAACACACAAGAAACTCAAAATTGAAGTATTAGAAAATGATGAAGAGATAGTAACTCTTCCGAAGGTAATGTACCTATTATTATAATTAGATATAATTAACTTAAAGCCAACGACAACATTATGTGTAAAATACTGTGGTTAACCTTTTGAGCGCCAAAGTCGTCTATACGTGACCAGCACCCGCGTGCCCTGAGCGCCAACGACGTCTATAGATGACAAAAAACCCGGCCCACAAAAATATGAAATATAGACATTGGAAAATTATTACTGGTATTTTAATTCTACACCCCTCAAAAAAGAATAACCCAGCAACATGTGAGTATAAAAAACAAGTCTCCTAGAGCCACAAGTACTAAGAAACATTGAACTAAAAAAAAATGGATTTTTATCTAAGCAAATACTATGTCCAGCACGCCAAAGTCGTCTATGTTAGACCGCTAGTGTTGTAATGCGTTAGCCATAAATTTATTGAAAACTATTCAAAATTAAGCTCAAACGTGTTATTTTTTTCTATTATTATTGATATTTAAATAAAACAAAAGGTTAGAAATATAAAACTATAATTAGCTACATGAATTTAAAAAAAAATTAACAAATTATCTTCGCATAATAAATCTAATATCTCAACCCTGGCGCATCCTTAGCGCGACATCGAAAATCAGTTCACTGGGCGCCGTGGTCAAGTATAGACGACACACTGATGACGTCATAAGCGATTAGCGGGAAAATTAGTGCAGTGCAACATGAACGATTCCTCAGAACTCATTCGGATTTTGGAAAGCGTCGACGATGATGAATTTTCGGAAATTTAAAATTATCGTGAAACCAAAGTTTTTCGTTTTCGATTAACTCTACCTCAATGAGGTAGGAATACACTTTATAGTCTTTTTACGGTTAATTTCTTTTTTATAGCATAGGGTAATAAACGAGCACACAGTCCACCTGATGGTAAGTGGTTGCTGTGGCCCATAGACATTTACATCTATCCTCGATTACGAATCAAAATGCAGATGCGCTCTCACCCGTGAGGATTTAGATGGAATGCCTCGTTTCCAGTAAAGAGGGTCTCCGGTTCTCTACACTTACCATACGAAATACAGCAGCATTAAGCTACTATTTGATGCCGATATTCCGTGAGAGCGTGGTTCTTCCCCGGTTGAGCCGACCCATTCGTGCTACAACTACTAACTCCCGTAATATAAATGCAGCATGGCTCTACCACGTTAGAAAATTTGCTTTGGCCAGCTAAACATTTATGTTTTATTATTCCATAAGATTTTTATTATTTTAAGACTAATATTACCTATAATTTATTAATTATTTTTAATTGTTGTTTTCTATATTAAGTACTGATTGAGTTAAAGACCAAGATTTTAATATTTTATGACTAGACCTAGTGCAAATAATTATTTACAATTGTTGAATAATTATGTACCCTTTGTTGATTTCTGTAATAAGTACTGATTTTTTTATTCCATGACCAAGATTTTAATATCATAAGACTGATTTTTCTAGTGCGAATAATTACCTATATACAGTTGTTGATTAGTGAATAATTACGTACCTTTTCTATTTTAATAATATAAAATTACAAATAATAAATGTGTTTTCTTTACTTAAGGTATGAAGAGCAATTTTCATTTTGTGTTGTGCGATTTTCTTTCTCAATCTCAAAATCATTTTGCAACATCAGTATCATATGAAACCCCCTTTATCATAAGAGCGTAAGACTTTTCTTCTGTGATTCACTTGGCCTACGCCTTGCCGTAAAATATTTTGAATAGATGTCTGTATATTTTGGTTATATCGATTTTGAAATCGATACACAACGTGCGACACGGCTACATCTCTAAGAAAGTTTCAAAAAGAAAGGTCAGCTACGCCGTTGTCGTCCAGTCGTGACAGTGACGTCATCACGACGGAGAGTAGTGTTGTGGTTTACTACTATTTTATTGTTATTGTTTGTTTTTTATTTATGTACAAAGTACATATATAAAAAGAGTGGAAGACAGCACAAGATTAAATAAAACATATCCGATTATAAAGACTCATTTATTGTATAAAAAACCAACAAAAACAAGTTATTTTGTGTTATCGATATATCAACTCTTGGCAGCACTGTTTTTTTCGTAGGTATTTTTGTTTACTTTTCGCTTTGGCGTACAGGACATGGTAGTGAGTTTTTGGCGTGGCTCTCAAAAGGTTAAGAGGATCAGTAAGCTGCAAGACAATTGAAAAATAGGTCTTATTTTTTGAGCTGACTTTAGAAAAAAATGTGTTCAATTCAACTGTATTTTTTTAATAGAATAAGGGTGACAAACGAGCACACAGTCCACCTGATAGTAAGTGGATGCTGTGGCCCATAGACATCTACATTTATCCTCGATTAAGGTAAGGTACAAAACAGATACGTTGTCACCCCTGAGGACTAAGTTGGAATGCCTTGTTTCCAGTAAAAAAGGGTCTCCATATCTCTACACTCAACATAAAAACACAACAGTAGTTTAGTTTACGACGGGCTGTTTTCCGCAACTCCACGTCTAAGCGCGTATTTTGCGTGTGGGCAGGAATAATATGCTTATTCGAGCCATGATATCTCCCCCGAAGAAGCTCAGCAGTCCCTTGAAGTTGCAAGCAACTTCGGAGAGCGATCCCGGCGTGCCGAGATGTTTAGCCCTGTATGAAGCGACTTCTGGACATGTCAGCAACACGTGAGCCGCCGTTTCTTCCTCTCCCATGCATGCCCTGCACAGGGGGCTGTCAGTAACACCTATGGTGAACAAACGTTTGTTAAAAGAGCCATGTCCTGTGATAGCACTTGTTACTATCCTGATCTGTGGCTTGTTCAGTCTCATTAGAACCTTGGTTAGATGACTGTTTCTTTCAGGTAGGGCCTCCCTAGCTTGTCTACAGTCTACTAAATTTTTCCAAAGCTGAGCGTGTGAATTATTGAAGTATCTACGTACCAGTGAACGAACGTAGCCAAAGGGGATTGGTATTATTGGTTCCGGCCCTATAGTTGCTAGGGCCGATCCCCTTCTGGCCAGTTCATCTGCTGCATCGTGGCCTCTAGATCCACTGTGTCCCTTGATCCATTGCAGAGTCACATTGTTGTGCTTACATACCTCATTCAATCATTGATGGCACTCGTATATCAGTCCCGAGTTTGTCACATTGCAACTCAGAGCTTGTAGTACCGCCATACTGTCCGTCAGTATTCTGATGGAGAAGTTTTTCACCTTCCTAGCATCTATTGCTATGGCCGCTTGGATGATTCCCATGCATTCAGCCTGGAAGACTGTGTTGTGGGTACCCTGCGGTGTGCATATGTGGATATTAAGGTCAGCCCCAGACCCCACACCTTCATTTGCCTTAGAGCCATCCGTGAAAACTTTGAGCTCTCTTGGACCCAATCCTTCCAGATGGTCAGTTTCCTTCAATTATATCCTGTACTTCTTATTGAATACAAATTGTTTTGGGATCCTATCATACTTGGCTTGTAAGATATGAATTTTTGAGTAAATTCTATAGATTATATCTGTATGGGGGACTCTACTCTTACTTAAAAGATTTAGGGTCTTGAGTCTAATGGCAGCTAAAGTTGCTTCTTGTTGTATATGTAGATGAAGCGGTGTTAGCTCCAGCATAGCCTCCAAAGCTGCTGTTGGTGTTGTCCTTATGCAGCCCGTGGCAGCCATACAAGCTAATCTCTGGTAATGCTGAAGCTTTTGTATAGTGGTGGCTTCATTGGTTTTGGTCCACCATACCAGAGAGCCGTATGTGATCATGGGCCGAATTATGGTTTTGTACAGCCACAGTATAATTTTTGGTGTTAAACCCCATCGTTTGCCAATCATGTTTCTGCACTGCAGAAGTTAAACTAGCTTTGCTGATTTCGTTTTCTATGTGTTTGTTCCAGTTAAGTTTACTTGCCAAGGTAAGACCTAGGTATTTTACCTTGGAAGAAAGTTGGAGTTTTGTGCTGAAAAGATTTGGAAGATGATAGTTATTCAGCATTCGTTTTTGTGTGAACATTACTATAACCGTTTTATTTGGATTAACGGTTAGGTCATATTCCCGGCACCATCTCTCCACAATACGGAGAGCCGCTTGGGTCAGGTCACACACAATGCTTGCTGTCTTACCAGAGACCAGTATTGTCAGATCATCTGCATAACCGACTGTGTAGAAATGATTAGCGTTTAATTTGCTGATGAGTTCATTAATGACCATATTCCACAGGAGAGGTGAAAGAACCCCACCCTGCGGGCATCCTTTCATGATCTGAATTGTCTGAGATTCACCAGCAAACTTTATTGTTTGTGTACTGACCATGTTTACTATCCAGTCAATCAGTGCCGGTTCAACAATATGTATACTTAGGGCACCTTTTATGCTGGAGAAATTTGTTCTGTCAAAAGCACCTTCTATGTCTATGAAGGTGCCTAGACATATTGCTTTGTTTTGGATGGCCTCTTCAATCTTTGTTATTACCTGGTGAAGTGCCGATTCTGTTGATTTACCTAAGCTATAGGCGTGTTGTTTTTCGTGTAGCGGTAAGTTTAAAATTAGCGCCGACCCTCTCAACTCCCGTTCACACATCCTCTCCCATCGTCTTTAGGAAAAAGGATGTCATCAGCTATCTCCTTTGTTATGTGACCTGAACGTGCACATGTTAAGGCCACACCCAAATCTGCTTTAGCAGCAGAAGCGTAGCTTGTTCTTACAGCCTTTGTTTGCTGTTCAAGTCGCACTTTTTTGTGCTCTCCTCTCGGCGAGGTGGACTCCTCCAGCAATCTTTTGGCTGCTCTTTCCTTCTTTCCAGGACGCTTGGCTCCTCTCTGGTTCCTGGCGGATTTCTTAGAGCTGTTTCCGGCGGCCGTGCCTACTGCTCGGGCTGGATGTTCATCCTTCCCAGTTTCAGCACGACTACTGGTTCCAGCCCCAAGCACCGCAGTAGCAGTAGCTTGCCCAACTCCCTGAGTCTTGCTCTTGGAAGCAGCGAGCGCGGCTCTTTCTCTGCGGCTTATTCTTCTTTTTGACCTTTGCGCTACTGCCTGCTGGGATAGACCCATCAGATGGTACATCGGGTCGGCAAGTCACCATCTTGGGTGCCTTGCGCTTACGGCTCACCACTTGCCAGGCAGCGGAGAAAAGGTCTTCGGTCCTTTGGGGCTCAGCAAGAGTTTTGCTACTCGCGGCCCCTTGCTCATTTTTCTCGTCCAGCTCCTTGGATTTGGAACTGGATGTAAAGACATCCAGCGCGGAATTGCCCCCTTGGTGGGGCCACCTACGCTGGGTGGTACAGTCAGTGGAACGGCCGGTTTAACGGCGGTTCCTTCTGGTTTATCAGTGTCTAAGGTAAACACCTCTGACACTTCTCCTTCTCTACTAATGGGCCTTGTGTTGTCCATAGTTTTTGACATGTGTAATAATTCGTCCCCCCGGCTTCCCACCCTCCATGGAGCCCGCACCGCACCTTTAGGAACGCCCTACTTTATTAAAAGAATTTCAAGCGTTAGGATTACCGGGGGAATATAGGGACGCAGAGTTGGCTCACAGCGCGACATCGGGAGCTCGATCCAGCTCGCAGATAGGGTTGAAAAGGCCCATCCCCACTGCGCGAGTTGACTTTCACTTGCCCCGTCAGCATGGCCTTTACCACCACCTAGCCCTTTTCAGGGAGACTAGGCAGCCCCCACATCCCTCGCCTGCGACCCTCTGACGGGACGCTTGGCCATTTCCTTATCTGTGGCTAGCAGATAAGGCCACCGTTTAGCTTGAAATCCGGACCAAAGAGGGCGTGTTGCCTCTCGACACTATATATCCCAGTGACGATCGGCTCAACCCTCCAGGACTCCTTCATCCCCGCATACGGCGCACAACTACGCAGGTCCTAGCGCAGGTGGGTATGTTAGTCCACCGGATACACCCACTCTCTCCGGCGGAACCGTTCCCTCCTCTTTTCCGGGCTTGGGACCGGCAGCAACAAAAAGCATTGACAAAGTTAGTTGCCCATGCTTCCTGTTGCAGGCAGAGTTAATTATTAACACAGCAGTATTAAGCTGCTATTTTACGCTGATATTCTGTGAGAGTGTGGTCCTTCCCCGGTCGAGCCGACCCATTCGTGCTACAACCATAATATAGCTGCAGCGTGGCTCCACCACATATAAAAGTATGTGCCGTATGTTTCATTTTGTACGCATGTTACGCGACATCATTGTCAATTGTGAATCAGGGTTGGTCCCATATAAATTTGAAGAAAAAATTCACCTCTAAAGGGGGTAAAATAGGGATTAAAGTTTTTAATTAAGATTAAATTGAGCTTTTGATATTCCTTCCTGTTATGCTGTTATAGCCTGTTAATGTCATGCTGAACATAGGCCTCCCCCATAAATTACCTTAAAGGGGGGCATTACAGAGGAAGATGCTACTGCTCATCACCAATTTGTTTCCCTCTGTCGCCTCTTACGACACCTATATAGTGTATATGATATATTATAATTGATTAAATCATATTCTTTAGTCTACTCAAAAGGTGAAAAAAAAAATTAACTTTTATAAGTAAATTATGACTATATAGACATTAACTAATTCTTTCTAAGTCTATGTCTTTATTGTAATGGATTTCCGCAAAGTAACGCCTGATTCTATCAATTATGTTAAATTCTGACTTCAAAGAACTCACAAGAACAGAACAATTTCACATTCTGAAGTAGGTTCTTATTTTTTTGTTCTGTACTTATTCGTTCATTAAAGACCGATTTACACTTCGATAAGTACAGTAGCGAGTTAAGTTACAGGCCAGTTGAAAGTAAACGGTTAAGTGGGCAGTAGCGTTCAAACTATGTCTTCGTGGCGAGTTTAGTTAAGGACATTAGTTCATAGAGTTCGTTGAAGTATGACGTTTCAAGACTACAGTATTTTTCCGGTTTTCGTTTAAGATGGTTCTAGGACTACGTATTAAATGATCTAGTCAGAGTAGTATTAATGGTTGTTAAGAAGTTTTTAAGAATTTTCATGTGTGCATCATCTCAGCAGGTTTAATTTTACAATTTAAACTTCTACTATTATATAAACATTCGTGTTCTAAATACTCCTGTACGAATTTATACGTGATATCTTCTGTCCATTTTATTATTAAAACTCAATATAAAACGTATAAATATTCAATAAACACTACCGTACAAACTTTGTGGCGAGTTTCATTATAAAAGTACAATTGTACGTTTTCGCTCGCAAATGTTGCGTCCTGTCAACTTATATATACGAACGGCGAGTTTAGTTTCGGGTGGCGGGAGACGCGCGGGAGTGCAGCACTTCGCACTTAACTCGCCGAAAAATAGTTCGGCCGGCTATCCCGTTCAACTTAATCGTTAACTTGCTACTTAACTCGCTTATTGCCTTTCAAACGAGGTTCAAACTTAACTCGTCAGATTCGCAAGTTAACTCGCTACTGTACTTGTCGAAGTGTAAATCGGTCTTAACATAAATACTCAGTGTAACCGTAACTGTGTACTGGCAGTGTAAGCATTTCCACTACTCCATAGTGTCCCATAGGAGTAACATGCGACAGAGCTAAACTAAAACAGAAGATGAGCTGCAGTATCTTCCTAATAAATTAAAATTATACAAACTGTATGTCCAACTGTGGACCTTTAAAGTCTGTCAAAAGCCCACTGCTGAACATACCATAGAAATACACTGACTTTATGGAAGTTGCGCTGATCTGGAATAGTAGCATGAGTGTCGACTCAGATCTTTAGCTCTGATTGCTTGCTACAGTTTATTTATTCATTCATTAATTACTACTTGTTAAAATAGATGTCTTCCTAAAGATTGCCATGTAGGGTGATATATGCCATAGTTGCCACGCTTGCAAATGGGTTGGCAATCGCAGCTTTTTATTATTTTTAGTAAGTTAAGGAAGATGCTGCTGCTCATCTGCTCTTACATTTCCAAATTACTATACCCACGGGATGCACGCAGCCAGCATACTTATGTAGGAAATTCTATGTGTTTTTAGATTCCCATCAAAGGAATAAAAACTGTAATGACGGGGCTCGAAGTTATGCAGAGGATGATGGAGTTAAGTGCCAGTGAAGCAGCAAAGAGGAAGGACCAAAAAGAGGTTGATGAGTATAAAAGCTGCCTAACTAGCCTGGGAACCACCATTGATAATATTAAAAAAGGTTTAAAGCCGCCCTCAATGCAATAGTGTTTATTTAGATATAATTTTGGTGATGATCGTTATAATCAAAGTTAAACATATTTTTCTATTAATGTGGGTATTCATTCCATTACTAGTTCGGTGCTTATCCTGTTTAGGATTTTGAGCTTGATAGTATGTTTTTATTAAGTACAAATACATATATCAATGGTTTGTTTATAAACCATGGTATTAGATATAATAGCGTATATATTTAATACATATATTAGGTATATGTATGTTTTCTACACATTAAATACGAAAACTCGTAAGGTAATTATTTAATAATTGCTCTCTCTAAAACTTGACATTGTGGTTCTGTGATAGCTGAAGTAAGTTTTTTTTTTGAGGTTATTATGGTATTACACATTTTTTAAAACCCCAGTTTGAGATGGAAATCTTTGCTTAAAATTCTTTCATTCCATTTTGAGTATTTGAATTGAGCATTTGAATATTTTAACTTTTTTGCTATACCTGTAATACTACATATAGTTCTTTGCTATTGTTTTACTATAGTATCTGAAAATCGAACAGTGAAAGTTTTAATAAGGTTGTATCCCATAAAGTTGTTCAATTATATTGCTCACTAGCTTTTCCCCGCTACTTCGCCCGCGTGGAATTTATTACGATTGTAATTTAATGGGTTTTAATAAAAAAAATGGGGTAACCCTCAGAACGACACACACTGTCAGTTCTACTGATCATTCCAACTGATCAGTTCAAACTAGGACTGTTGATATTTTTAAAAATGTCGGATAATCGATATATCGATAAATGTACTTATATATTACTCCTTATAACATCAGCTATCTGCCAGTGAATGTCCCGAGCCGTTTCATACTAGGACAAACGGACAAGTAAAAATAAAACAATTAAAAAAAATTGTTATAAGTACACACATACAAACAGACACTCCAATTTTATTTATTTGTATAGATAACCATTTGTACGCAAAAAAGTGATGCTTCTATTGTCATGTTGACGCTTTTACTGATTCCCAGTGATGTTTTGGTACACTTTCGATACTAACTTTTGTGAACAGCAATCTGACAAAATCATGACTTATTTGAAATTGTGAAAAGGCTTATTTACGATTATTTTTATTTTTTTCCTTGTTTCAGTAAGCCAGTTGGTTTGGTTTTAATCACCCATCTGATTCACATATCTGATTCAATAATTGAGATTTTTAACATACTATGTTACGTTAACACTCCATTACGCGCGCCCCTTTTTGGGACGCGAGTGCTCGCGCGCTCTACATATGTAGAACTATTTTGTGTAAAGATTTTACAGGAACAATAAACAAATATAAAAATACTTCAATATTATATAAAAACTTTAATAAGAAACTAAAATAGACGAAACATAACTGTTACCATTTATTAGGCACTTAATATCAGACTTGTGAATTTTGAGAAAAATCAATGATTTTTTGGCATCAAACCTTCTCAGTCTCCTTTTTTTACTCGCTCATATCTTCCACACGGTTTTTATCATTTTTACAAGAGACAAGGCATTGAAGAACTTGATGTTGAGGACGAATCCACTATTTACAGGTGTCACATTGTTTTCTAGTGGACTTATTGCGCGCTCTGCCACAAAAGGAACATTTCCCGACTCGACCAGTGTTGGGGAGTTGTGCTGGACATGGTTGTAATTCCGATGGCTCTTTCATGCCCAAAAGCATTTTCCCTTTCATTTTAAATGATTTTGGAATATTTTCAATATTTATTCTGCGTTGTATGCATGGCGCGACTAGGTGAAAACCAAGTTCATATAAAAAATTCCTTCCTGGCCTTATTTCTGTAGTCCTTGTTTATTGTATGTACAATATAACCGTTTATAGCACTTATATTCATTAAATTGAATAAAATGGTAAGTGAGACGTCATAAATACTACAAATAATGTCCACGCCATATTTGGTATTGTTGTAAAAAGTTATTATTTCCGGCTTACGTTTCTATTTATTTATTTTATTTATTTATCCTTTTTTTGTACACCACAATACAGAAACATCAATATAGTTAAAACTAATTAAAGTATGTACAATAGGCGGTCTTATCACTGAAAGTGATTTCTTCCAGACAACCTTTGCGTAGAGTAATGATGCAAACAAAAGTTACAAATAGAGGGGGGGCATACAAAATAATAAAAAAAATACAACAATACATACAAATAAAAGTAAGTGAAAGTTATATATAAAATATCATATAATAGATCGTTTCTCTGCTGTTTGTAAATCGATATGATCATCATAGTGCATAGGTGAGTAAATAAGCACCACTTTCTTTGATTTTGGCATGTAAAATACTAAAGTACCTTGTTTTTTGAAAGCCAAAAATTGAACTCGTTTCGCTTCTGTTTCTTGTGATTTTGAATTCTTTGGGAACTTGTGCCTTATTTTTCTTCACAGTGCCTACGACAGTAATTTTGCTACCTAAGAGTTCTAAGCATTGAGGTATATTCGTGAATCAATTGTGCATTGTGATGTTATAACATAAACCATCCAATGGGGTAAGCATTCGTTGCACAATGTCCACAACTTTATTTGATTGTGCATAAGGACCATCTGGCTGAGCACCTGCGTATATTTCCATATGGTAGGCATAAGGTACCTTTGTATCCGTTACTAAAATAATATGTATCCCATACTTTGCTGGTTGCTTCATCAGTAATAACCTCTTCCAACCATCTCAAAATATGTGCCATCATTGTGCGAAATATAGTTATTTCGGTTAAAAATAATATTATCAAACAAAAAAATTCATAATAACAATATTTATACTTAATATAAACACTTACATAAAATAAAAACGATAGGTAAACTTCCGACAAAAATGTCACGCGAGTGCTCGCGCGCTCTACTATTGTAGAATTTTAGTTTTGGTGCGAAATTTCTAACAAGTGCGATCGCGCAGTTTGCCGAAAGGGTACTAATTGTGATCACCAGCTAGTAATAGAGGAATACTATGAGTTTGTGCGTTAGACACCCACAATTAATGTTAAAATCCCACGAAATGCATGCCTGTTCTACAATAGTAGAACGCGCGACTAATGGAGTGTTAAAATAGATTCAAAACTAGAATAGACATATTTTTTTTTTAATTAAGATGTTTTCACCATAATTTTTGACTGTAAAATTTGTTATATCCTAAAGAGACAAAAATAATGGGACGGAATTTTCACGTTTGAAAGTGACGTCATATCCACATTTAAGATGAGCTATTACCTTTTTGTTCTAACACAGTTGTGAATATCTGGTTACTGTTGGTATCATATTACTTAACAGGCAGTGCCTATTGCGTTTGCCTCTTTCTATATTTTTCTTTGATTTCAACAAATGAGTCAAAAAAATTTTTTTTTCGACATATGAAAATAATTGGTAAGGTTAATTTAAGTAACTAAATTTTTGGTCTTCCGTTCATGGCATTTTTTAATATATTTAATACTAATTTCCTTGGATAAATATAAGCCTTTTTAAATTTTGCGTGGCAAACCTTTTTGTTGGGCTTATAGATCATAATTAATTTGAATTTCATCACTTAGGGTTTCGTATTATTAAAAATAAGATATACTAATTTTATTTGCTCAAACTAAATTAAATTTTATTAATTGTAACTAAATTTTAGTTAATTTACTATTAAATGGTGCTATCATATAGGCAATAAAGTGTGCCTTTATTATGTTATACATACTGTAGTAAGGAATGAATAGGCTTTTTAGGGCTTTTTTAAGCTAAGTCAGAGCAGTTTGTCATAAGCGATTGCATCACCATTTAAAAGACCACTTTAAATAATACTAAAGAATTTAGTAGTCAATTTCTAATGAAAATATGCTACAAAAGTTAGTCATTTCCACTAGGGAAAGACAACAATTTTCGGTGAGTGTCGAGAAGCATGTTTGATAACTGAGAATTATGCCATCCCATTTAGTACTAAAAATATGATGATGAAAATCTTGAAGATAACACAGGAGAGTGGTCTTTTACTTTTGTCAATTATTGAAAAAAAAATATCAAAACACCTTATGCAAGCCATTCAACCAGTGCCTTAAAGATTTTAGAAAATATTATTATAAAAAACACTATATTTAGTATAAGGAAAACAGGCATAGCATTTTTAAAAACCTCATTATGCCTGTATAAAATTTCTAGATCCACTTATGAAACAAAATTTCAGAATGCCATACTGCTAAATTTGCCTAACCATAATTGTGTTGAAAATGATTGACATTACATAATATGTGGATATAGTATTTATGTTGGGGCAGCGTGGCGGCCACTTTCTTTCTTCTAAAAACCTTTTCATAAATGAGGAAGACTCTGCCCAGCGTATATAGGCTGCAACTTAATGTTATAGAAAGTTCACCTTATAATTGAGAGTTGACTTTTGTGACAAGTATTATATAACAAAATTATGCAATGTCTATAAATATACTTTTATATGTTAAAAATTGATTATAACGATTTCGCTCACTTTTTGATAATTTTATAGGTTTATTTGATTTTAGGTATAAAGTACGTTAATTGTTTTAAGTTTTTTTTTAAAGTTACTTTTTAAGTTTTAACTCAATAGTGAGTAAGAGGTTCTATGTTCCCTGATACTATATAGTTAAAAATACTAATGCCAACCGATCATTGCACTTGACAACACGTTTATATAGCCTTTAGGAAATGTGAAGCTGAGCTTGAAGTGCCGTTACAAGTAATCCTGATGCTAACAACTACAAATAATTTTATCAACAAATTTAAAATAATTTTTGTTATATTTACAAGAATACCACAACTTAATACCGACTGAGAAGTTTGACGTCCCGATGGCATAGCCCTTAGAACCCCCCCCCCCCCCCCCACCCTCAATAAGAAACTTCGGGAATTAAAAGTTAAAATAGCACGGGATAATATCCGTAAAATTATTTTCATTCAATCAAGTCACACCACTATAGTTAAAAATATGTACTGATCCTATGATCTTTTATCGGAGATAAAATTTGGGAGATTATTACTGAATATTAGCAATAATGATTTCTTAAATTTACCCGAATTCTGTACATTGAACAACGTTCTTAAATTTACATGTTTAATTTGAATTATATTAATTAACAGATGCACCCACTGTCATGGCCAGTCCCCTGATAAAAGCCTTATAAGTTATTAGTTCTATTTATATCTATTATATTACCTTTGCAGGGGTATTTTCACTATTAATTCTATTCTGTTAGCAATAAACAGTATCAGTGTGCATAGTACCAAAATCCCACCACTTTGTTGAAATTCCCAGTCAATGTAATAAGTTAGGTTTGGAATAGAAATAAGGTTTACATAGGTTTAAGATTGTAACAAGTGCAACTACATAAATTTTTTTATAAATTGTTTTGGTTATGGCAACTTTGAAGAATAATATGCCATAGGATCTTCCATATTATATAAACTTATTGTATGATCAGATTTTATACCATATGCTGAAAATTTAAATTAGTTAGTTCATGTTTATAAAAAATTACGATAATTTTATATATCTATTTTAAAATCATTTTTTATGATTCAACTGTGAACAGTATGATAGCAGCATTATTGGCTTGGTTTCAAATCTGCACTTAAACTACAGCTGTTGTGAGCCACATTTTACAGCAAGTATTTTAAGACAAGTTGAAGTATAAGATACTGGTAATATGTTACTAGCATTTATAGAATTCTTCTGATTATAATATATTTCATACTTTGCATATATTTTATACTATACATTGCCAGAATCTCAATCTTTGGAAAAAATCTTTATAAGCTTTAAATTTCTTGATCTAGAAAAGAAATTAGGAAGGATAATATAATAGATTACCCGCCTAGCCACCGGATTTAGTTTACATACTGATATACTCTTATGCTAAGAATTAAAATTTAATGTTAAACATTGTAGAAAAACATTTCTCTTTGACTCATCGGCACATACAACTTACATTTGTTTAAATGAAGTGCAAAAAACAAAGTTACTTTAAAAGTTATATTAAAGCAACAATCCAAACGTGGAGTTTTGCATTGATTTTTCTCACATCTAATTAAAAGATTATTGCCCAAATACTCAAAAGCTGCTCAATTTTAACACAAAAATTGGTATCATAGAACCAGTCGAACTTTCTACCAGTTTGTTTTTATATCCGATTTTAATTTTTAGCAGGTTTGAATAATTTGTGCATTCGTATTTATTGTAATTATGTTTTATGTAATATAAAATAAGTTTCCATATGATAAAAACTTAAAATTCATAATATATGCTATAAAAAACAGGTTATTTTGTTGTGATTACAAATTGCAAACCAAATTATTATATTTAGTAAAAATTGTTTCAAGAACACACTTTAATTATATCTTAGGTGAATTCCCATATATAAATTCGAAAATCGTAATAATTTCTTTATTTCTATTCATCATCATCCATTTTATTATAATAATTAATTCCTGTTTGATTTTAACAAATTGTTATAAGCGAGCAAACATATTGTGTACAAATGGACGGCGAGAGATGAATGTTTTTTTCATTCATAACAACCCATCAAAAGTTCTCTGCTAAAACAAATATAGATATACAGGGGGATATTTGCTAAGTGGCTACTTTTTTAGTTTATTATGATTACTTTTTTTAAATATTAGTAATCCTATTAATCCACATTACTAATATTCCTTTAACCCGGCGGGAGGCGCGTCAAAAAAACGAACACAAAGAGGCGCTACCGGGTTAAAACTACCCACCCAGAAATTGTCGTATAACTTTATATTTTTAACTGTTATTATAAAAATCACTAAAATTTATATTAGTTTACTTTATTTTGATTTAATAAAACAAGTCTGTTCTGAAAAATTACTTTTATTTACTTATATTTAGGTCTTTCACATTTATTATTAAAAATTGTGGATTTTTTTGGATAAGATATTAAAACCATATTTTTTCTTATCATCAACTCGAAAATTACAAAAAAATGAACTTTATGACACTAACAAAATAATAAATTTTACAATGAAAAACAAAATAGCTTCCTAGCAACAAAACGGACAAAATTAAAGTAATTTGAATATTAGCCAAAAAAAAAATCAACAAAACATTTACTCGCTAAGTAGGATTTATAAAGATAAATAATTTTATTTGCGTTCTTGGTAACAATTGTCACAAATTGGAATTGTGTGCTCCTTACAGATTTTCGCGAAACAAAATTTGCATGAAGTTTTGGTTTTACGGTCTTTCTTCCAAGTACAGACAGAGCAACGCGATGATGACGAAGTTGATGGTGCCATTTGTGCAGCCTCAGACACTGGTTCCTCGATCCCAACTACTAACTCTATATTTTTTTTAATTTCTTTTGGCAAGTTAGCAATTAGTTGCCTCTCCTTGACTAGGGGTTTACTCAATGCCAATGCGAGTTGTTTTAGGCAGTTTCGACGATCATCACAGGTTTGGCCAAGATTCTCTTTCTTTTGTTTGGCAATGACGTATGCATTGATGCCTGCAATGTTCATAAAGCCAAAGAATATGACTAAGGGCCACCTTTTTGTAATTCTAGATACAGAATACGTACCGCAGAGCTCATCTACTACATCAACGCCACACTTGTACCTATTATAATCTGCTATAATCTCTGGTAAGTTTTTTTCGCCTGAATTCTGGTCTATTGATGCATCATGGTGCATTGTTGATACTAAAAGTACCACCTTATTTTTTCTTGGCACGTAAGAAACCAGCGTACAATCATTCTGGAACCCAAACATTGAACTCTTTTCTTCTCTTCTCTGAGTTGCAGAAAATATTGCAGGAATCTGTGGCTTGTTTTTTTGTATTGTGCCCAAAGAAGTGAAGACCAATTATCCATTACTATGTTCCGATGAGAACCTCTAATTGGAGTAACAAGGCGCTTTACAACATCAGACGCAGAATTGCTCAAATTGTATGGCCCTTCATTAGTACCAACATAGGGTTCTATGTTGTAAGTATAAAATGTTTTGCTGTCAGCCATTAGATGGAGTTTAACACCGTATTTTCCGGGTTCACTTGAGATGTATTGGCGAAAAGGGCATCTTCCTCGTGTTTTCTCAAGTTTTTCATCAATAGTTACGTGTTGTCCAAATGAGTAATATTTTTTTATGTTATTATTGAAGTCTTCGTAGATTTCGCGAAGTGGAGCAAATTTATCTGATGGTCGCCGATCAAGTCGGGTATCAACGTTGTCGAAACGAATACTTTTCAAAAGAAATAGGAATCTTTTTCTGGACATAGTGGCAATGCAAATCATACTTCCCGTACCATCTGACGCCCATAGGTTTTTGGTATTCAAGTGTGCACCTCGGACTCGTCCAATATAGTAAAGCAATCCAAATAGAGCACGAAGCTAAATTTCGTTTGTCAACTTGCAGTCTCTGACACGACTATACTTTTCTTTTTACTTTTCAATATAGATGTTTGTGTATGTGACTATTTTTGTTATAAACTCTGGAGGAAAAATGAGATTCCACGCCTGAATTATAGAATAACAGTTCCAACCTTCGTGAGGAAGGTGGAACTGTTATTCTTTATACCTTAGGTCCAGGCATAGTAAGGACTATATTGTGCGATCGAGTCTAATGACTGATGCTCTGCGCACCACAAAATTTTAGGACATCAGACATCATATGATGTCTGATGTCCTAACATTTTGTGGTGGCGCACAAACTTGCCATTTTGTAATATTATCTTTGCCCGTGAACTCCCACATCGCAAAAACTGTAATGGAACATCTAAATAATCATGGGATACTTGAAGATCTCGCCAATTTCGTACTCCGAGTGGTTGAACAAGCGGAGATAACTCATGTGATTGATGATCAAAAGGATTCGCATCTTCTTCAGAATCAGTATCGTGAATACTGACATTTTCTATATCTTCAGTCTCAGAACATGATGATTCGTACTCTGCTTCTAATTCTTCTAATATTGCTTCCTCTCGCAAAAAATGTGACATTTTTAATATGAAATACTATAAAAAACACTCATAACAAATTTAAATCACACAAAACGAAAGTTACACAAAAAGTCGCTACTGGGTAAAAAACACCCATACACCCATACAACCCAAACACCCATATTGAACGTCGGTCCCGGTCGCGCCGCATGGGCAAACTGATCGACACCCCGCGCACGCCAAGCTGCATCCCCTCCCGAGAGGTCTAGACCGCCGAAAATCTGCAGCTACTGGTTAAAGAAATATTAACGTTTAAACCACACTATGGGTATTTTTTACCCGGTAGCACCTCCTGTCGGGTTAACCACTCCTGGTAAGCTTAAAATGCTTGTGTTAGGAGTGGTTCACGACAGTAGTCGATTAGTGGATTCGAACCCACGATCTTTTGAGTTCGCGGTTCGCGCCCTGATAATAGGATACTGTCGCTTAATTTTTGCAATTATGAAGAAATTATATCCAGTTTTAGTTTCAATCGGTCGTCTTTTACAATATTTACGGAATGTTATGAGATATTGGATTTTATTACGTCGCTACTACACGGCAAAAATAATTTTTTTAAACGCCTATCAATCCCCAACCTCAATATTGTTGCATTTGTCACTGCCCTCGTCTTTGTGACCAGTTAAAATTTCATAAAATAATACTTTGTTTAACATTCCTGTATGTGATTTCTAGTTATATTGTTTAAAAACGTTTGATAACTATATTCATTACTATGTACCTGTTTGCTCGCAGTTTTTGGCCTCTTAATTGAAAATTAAATGCTAATTCTAATTTTTTTAATTCTTTTTTTAATACTAGTGCTAACAATTGTCAATATTAGTAAAATGGCTCATGCTAACAATATAATCTATGACATAAATATATGGCTAACAATAATCTATATTTTACGAATTATTGGTAATGTTAGCATAAGCCAAAGTGGCTTGAGTGCTATACAGATTGTTGTTGGTATAAGCCAATGTGGCTTAAGTGCCATTTCGTAAGATTTTTTTTTGATTTAAATTTTAAAATTGTTTCAGTGCTCATGTTACTGTATTTAATTTCATTTTATTATAATTGCAAATTCTGTTTGATATTTGATAAGTTCTAATTGACTTTTTAATGGGTAGAACATTGTAAGTCTTAAGGAAATATTCCTTTTTGTAATGATTCCGCCTTAGAATATTTGCCTTAATATGGTCAATAAATTTCTTAAAATTTTGAATATCTTTTATTTTGCAGTTTAAAAAATAGGGGAAAGCTGATTACAGTGAATTACTTTATAAGGGAGACAATCAATTTTTCTATGGAGAATGGGCCCACTACAAATTTTAAAGATTATCAATGAAATGCATGTCGATTTATTCCTTATAATCCATAGATTACAATAATATTATTAGTTTTACTGCATCTAAACGGATTCCTGAGAAATTAACAAATAAAATGTGAATCTAACAATAACCTAAAAACAAACTGAAAGCGATTTTCTAGTAGTATTCATCGGTATTATAAGTTAAAATAGTGCACACTTGAATAATAGTACATATAAAACTAAGCTGTAGGTATATTCAGCATTTATAAATATTTGAAATCGATGTAAAACGTTTCACTAGTTCCTGCAAAACATAGTGCCTGTCTATGCACAAATGTCGTATGGATTCTATTTTTGACATGTATTGATTGATTGTGAGTGTAATTCTAAATACCAAGATGGCTAAGGGATAATGTCTATTTATATTTATGATATTACCAACACACAGTAAGAAATGTTTTAAACTGGTTGTATTACAAAAAACAAAATATAATGTCGGTAACTCTATTTATTATTGTAAATTATAATTTATTTAAGTATTCTATTAACAGTAGTAGGTACAGAAACAGAAACCTTTTATTCAATTTAGATTATAAATAATACTTATTGAAAGTCACTTTTTTAATTTACCACTGGTTTGGAAAAAACCTCTGACTTGAACAGAACCAGCAAAATACCCAGTGGGTCTTTTAAAAAAAGCCAGCTTACACACACACAGAACAAATTAGAAATAGCTTGGTAGCGATCACCTTACCCACGGATTGTCAGCCATAAATTCCTTTATACTATAATAACCCCTTTTATACAAACTTAATTTAATAAATTTTATGAACTTTGATGATTGACTGACATATATAGACAGGAGCGGTGTCAAGACATTGTTTTAATATGTTTTGGTTGATTAGTAAGTTGTATACATCATAATAAAATGACTAGGAATTAACATGCCTTATCTATGTTATTACACAATGATAAATAGTGAGGAAGTAAGATGTTTTAAACTGTTTGTGTGAGGATTACAAAAACACAGGCTTAATTTAAATGTATTTATTACTGGCGATGCGCCTCAGCTGCAGCACTGGTGACTTGTGGATCTCGACAACAGTGCCATCTACCGGGTCCAAATGTAAATATAAACCATCTAGGGATCCATACAAACACACACAAATATTTTCATTGAAATTGGATGGTTTCTTATGTTTTGTCTATAACGGACATATAGGTAGAAACATTTTAGTGTTAGATATATTTCTGAAGGTTTTTTGAAAATAACTTGATGGTAACATGTACATTTATGATATTGTAAGCAATCAGAAGGCATTTTCAATTATAAGAGATATGATATAAGACTGTTGTATTCAATATCCATACACTTTTTGTCTCTGCAAGCTTTCAGCCTGCAAGGCATACAGATTTGTTCCAAGTGATCCACCTGAAAAGAAGTTTATGACAATTGTAAAGGTGTCTTAACTAAATAATAATTCTTATCAATATATTTTTTTTTCTATATTATATAGGAATTAAAAAGACATTTTTAATAATAAGAGATATGAGATAAGACTATGCCTTCAATGTCAATAAACTGTATTTACATATTTCTGTGAGCATTTTCTTATATCTGCCTTTTCATATGTTAAATAATAAAGAAATTATTATAAATTATACAGCATTAATCAGCTCCAGCTGATCAAATACAGAAGCAGTGATTATTGATTAACATCAATGATATTCAACCATGTAAAAGTTGTCTCACATTCTTTTTACCGGTTTCATGTACATGGGAGACAAAGATATTATTGTTATATTAAGTATATCTGATTCTAGATGACAAAATAATATTCTTTTCTGCACAGTGAACAACACATCTGTCTAAGCATAATAGATACAACCATTACACTTTTTTATGTAAACTATTATTATTAAACTTTATATTTGCTTCTAGTACAAATAATTACTACATTTTTTACATAATGAATTCTTATATTTACGCGAACACTATACATTGATTAAAACTACTTTTACGGATTTTATCGCGTTTTATTTATATTAATTTTAATACCCGACGTTTTTCCTTCTTTTCTTTTTTTTATGGCGGTTTTTGATTATTCGCCAATGTCAGCGTGGAAGTGTTTATTGAGTACAAGCTCAGTAGTCACAAATACTATGCCCATGAACTAAAGAAGATTGTGATAATACAAGTGTCTTGTTTTATTTAAACAATTAAATTTTCCTTTTTATCTTATAATACTAGTGCTTGTACTGTTGAATTACCTAGGACAAATGACAAACACAGTTGCTATAACTACTTTAGTATATTAGTATTGACAAACATTAAACTTTTATACTATTAGAGTTAATAAAATCACACAGAATATATACATAAGGAGTGTTTGTGTAGGTTAAAAGTGAATCAAAATTTATAGGACGAGGGATGTCAGGAGGGAGGTGATCATAGAGTGAAGAAGATAATTTAGGACAGTTAAAAAAAATATGGTCAGAAGTTCCCTCATCTAACCCACATTCGCAGAGGGAACTGTCCCTAATCCTCAGTTTGGCTAAATGTACTGGTGTACAAGCATGGCCAATTCGAAGTCTACAGATAGTTGATGTTGACTGTTTGTTAGCTTTATTAAATTTGAAAAACCATGGTTTTGGAGGAATGGCACCTTGTATAGCAGCATAGTGTTTACCTTTTATATTTTGAGTGGCTTTCCATAATGTATTCCAATTATTATTTAACTTCTTCTTTGCAAGTAACACTATGTCTGAAGAGTAAACTAAATTACATGGCAAACCATTTCGACTTGCATTTTTAGCCATCAGATCAGCTGTTTCATTGCCCTTGATGCCACTATGACCTGGAATCCAAGCTAAGGAAACCTGAATACCCTTGAGATGACATGTATACAATGTGTGTTTAATTTTGATGAGGATCAAGGGTATCTTATATTTACTTTGGAACTGGTTTGACAAAATTGCTAACAAACAGCTTTTGGAGTCAGTAAGAATAACTGACTTATTTAGGTTGTGTGCTTCTATATAAATTAAAGCTTCATAAATTGCCGTGGCCTCGCCAGTAAAAGTGGAAGAAATAGAAGGGCATTTAAAATTGAGGATTATTTTGTATCTGGGAATCCAAACGGCTGCTCCAGTGCAACTTTCACCTGACTTTTTGGAGGCATCAGTGTATATAATAAGCCAGCCTTTCCATAAGTTATCTATGACTCTACTTAGTTTACTATTTGCTATAGGGCAATCTTTCTCAATACCAAGGTCGAGGTGGATATTTGGTTGATAAATAATTGCATCATATGGGATATCAAAGATGGGACAGGACTTGCATTGTGATACTGGGTGTGGTAGATGGAGTAATGTTACCAAACTGTTGGATAAGCAGGGAGATTCTTTATGAGTCCAGTAATGCTTTGATGAAATATATTCCAAAAAGAAGGTGTAATTTAGAAATGAGCGGGTGGGAAGAGAGTTGGTAGATTTTAAAAAAAGAATCGGTCCGAAAGATATTGTCTTCTTAGGTAAAGAGGGGGGATCTACACATTCGACTTGGAGAGCATTTATTGGGGAAGATTTCATTGACCCAATGATTATACGAAGGCTTTTGGCCTGAATCCTATCTAGATTCTTTAGGGAAGACTTATTACAGGGTTCCAAGACAAAGCACCCATAATCCAAATGACTACGAATAAGG